AATCACATTCAAACTCATGTTAAATAGGAGTCAGTACACACCTGCCATCATTTAAAGTGCCTCTGATTAACCCCAAATAAAGTTCAGCTGTTCTAGTAGGCTTTTCCTGACATTTTCTTAGTCGCATCTTACAGCAAAAGCCATGGTCCACAGAGAGCTTCCACAGCATCAGAGGGATCTGATTATTAAAAGGTATCAGGCAGGAGAAGGGTACAAAAGAATTTCCAAGGCATTAGATATACCATGGAACACAGTGAAGACCATCATCATCAAGTGGAGAAAATGTGGCGCAACAGCGACATTACAAGAACTGGACGTCCCTCCAAAATTGATGAAAAGATGAGAAGAAAACTGGTCAGGGAGGGTGCCAAGAGGCCTACAGCAACATTAAAGGAGCTGCAGGAATTTCTGGCAAGTACTGGCTGTGTAGTACATGTGACAACAATCTCCCGTATTCTTCATATGTCTGGGCTATGGGGTAGGGTGGCAAGACGGAAGCCTTTTCTTACAAAGAAAAACATCCAAGCCCGGCTAAATTTTGCAAAAACACATTTGAAATCTCCCAAAAGCATGTGGGAAAATGTGTTATGGTCTGATGAAACCAAGGTTGAACTTTTTGGCCACAATTCCAAAAGGTATGTTTGGCGCAAAAAGAACACTGCACATCACCAGAAGAACACCATACCCATGGTGAAGCATGGTGGTGGCAGCGTCATGCTTTGGGGCTGTTTTTCTTCAGCTGGAACTGGGGCCTTAGTCAAGGTGGAGGAAATTAGGAACAGTTCCAAATACCAGTCAATATTGGCACAAAACCTTCAGGCTTCTGCTAGAAAGCTGAAGATGAAGAAGAACTTCATCTTTCAGCACGACAACAACCCAAAGCATACATCCAGATCAACAAAAGAATGGCTTCACCAGAAGAAGATTAAAGTTTTGGAATGGCCCAGCCAGAGCCCAGACCTGAATCCGATTGAAAATCTGTGGGGTGATCTGAAGAGGGCCATGCACAGGAGATGCCCCCGCAATCTGACACATTTGGAGCGTTTTTGCAATGAAGAGTGGGCGAATATTGC